TGTCTTGAACGCTTTAATCATTCTGAAAGGGAATAAGGAAAAAAAACATTCTTGGCACAATAACAACAGTATTACGTTTTCTTTACTGCACCGCCAATTCCTGGTCTCCATTGACAGCTGAAAAATCTGTCCGTGCAAAGGGCTGTTCTGTGATTTTTTCTACTGAGAACCATGGTAATAGCCCCTACGCATGCTGATACATATTTTCCAGGGGTAAAAATATCAAGTTACAGTGAAGTTCAATTTGATCACAAATGTTGAATTGTTATTTAAATTTAGTTGCCAAATGGTAATTTGTTTCATATGAGTCACTCAAATTGATCGTCGAACTTTAATTTGTTTGATACATTTATGTTTTCACTAGCCTCGTAAACTAATTTTAAACTTAAGCTTGGGAGAAGATTCTCCAAAGTCCAAAGATGAAATAGTAAAGAAAGAGCATTGGGAGAAGATTCTCTAGTCCAAAGATCTTCCTTTTGAGTGATTGACATGAGGAATGGCAAAAAAAATCGTTCAACTCGATACTCGTGGACCCCACCCCAAATGGGGTGAAAATTACCAGCCTAATCGGGTAAACAGGATGGGATCATTGTCCCGAATCGAGTACAGGGCAGGTACGGAAAACATAGCTCATGCCCTGTTACTCGCCCGTTTAAAGTTAATTTCAAATTCAAACTTTTTATCAAATAAAAATAAAATTTTTACCTTCATTTTTAAAGAGAACATAAGTTGTTTTTAACAAATTGAAAAAAAAAATAATATTTTAGTAACTAAAAATATAAAAAAATAAAAGCAAAAAATAAAATAAAAAGAAAAATTAAACCCCGCCCAGATTCCGTCCCATCACATCCAGTTCCGTCCCACTTTAATAAGGTATGGGGATGAGAAAAAGTGATAAAAATACCCGACGTAACAGGAGAATGGCCGACTCGTCTCATACCTGCTCTGTTGCCTCCCTAATTGGCATACATATGTCCTTGTCCACTCTTAAACTTGTATCTTCATTTATTTTCAATATAAATACTCTATTACTGTGGTGGTTGGACTTTAAAAATAAAAAAAATAAAAATTATTTGTATGCACTCCAATTTTTAATCCGAGTCATGTGGATGATACTATTAAATTTAATGTTGGGACCATTGGGTGAATTATTCTGAGTTTTACTATAAAACGTTATTGACATATGCAAGCCAACATAATTCATGTAGGTGGTCCCTGTCCAGTTACACAAATTTTCACCATGTTGGGTAAATTTGAAACTATCAAATGTGGATTTACACGTAAAATTATTTTATTAAGATAATGTATGATAAAAAACCAGTTTAAGAAAAATGAATTTAAAAGAATATGTTCCAAACATGATTGCTTAATTCATGCACAAGTTACATTAAATAGAAATATATGATTGGAATATCTTTCCATTGCTAATCAGACTAAATAGGCATACCCACTGGCGGAGCTCTCGAAAGGAACACTTGTAATAAGGCATGATTTTGCTAAATTAAATATTGGTACTTTCTTTTATATGTTTTTTTGTTAATATCCAAAAAAAAAATTTCGGGGACAGCCCCCGTGGCCCCCCACCCTTCTATCTCTATATCTTCAATTTTGGGACTCCTGAACTTCAAACGGCTAGCTCCGCCCCTGGGCATACCAACTACTCTTGACTGTCTACCCTACCTTCCCTTTCCTTTCCATGGTCATACCAACATAAGCCATTCTTGACCCAACTAGTGATTTGTATGGTAAAAGTTGGATTAATATTTGGACAGTACTAAAAGGAAAAAGTCAAAAATTTATCAATTGTACAGTTTAATCTTAATTGTTGAGCAAAAAATATAAGATGTATGAAAGAAATTAATCATGAGTCGCATAAGAAATTCCTTATCTATCTTTGAATAGACAACGTAAGGTCGAATAACGAAGAACAAGAAATTAAAATCTCGTTACTTATGTTATAAAATACTATCCACACATCCAATATTTATTGAGTGAAGAATTTATTTCTTTGGCACTATGCCTGAACAAATTGTTAAACCAAAAGAAACAAATTAACCTTCACACTATTTCAAGAACTACAAAGAATTTGAATCACTTCTTGCTCTTGTTCCTGTCCTTGCCACCAGAAAATATAGAAGCCATACCAAACAGACTTGCAGAAGGAACATTCAAAACTGGATTAATTCCATAAGAACCCTGAATATTTTTCTTCAATGGAGGCTTCTGATGAGAAGCAGATGATGACAAAAATTGTGATTGCTTCCCCGCCGAATTACTGAATAATGAACACTTATGCTGCTGCTTATGATTGGAACTGCATTTTGATATTGATGATCGTTTAGAACTGGTTGCTGAACCTGTTGAATTACTCCGGGATAGAAGTGGCAAAGGGCATAAGCTCCGCCCATAGCCACCACCATTGCCACCACAATTCAAACTACTGCTGCGCTTGAACAGCCAAAATGACTTGTTTTGCTTTTCTTCTGAGTTCCCAATATTCTTCTTGTTCGAAGTATAATTAATCTTGTGATCATGTTGTGGATTTGGAGGTGGAGGTGATGGCGATAGTGGAGGCTCCTCCACCCTTTTCGGTGGAGCTGCCAATTTTTTCTTGATTTCAACTGGAAGAATCTTTCCATCCAAGAAAATATCATCGGCCAAAGAAGATTCTTGATCAAAGCTTCCCCGGAATACACAGAAATCAAAATCACCAGTCGATGATGAATTCGATTCAATATATTTTTCTACCGGAATTACATCTGCTTGTGAAAAATCATGAGAAAATGAAATCCTAGGACTCACGTTCGTACTTACAGGATTATCAGAACATAATTCAATTGCCATTGTTCACTATTCAGCTTTCTTGGCAGAATTTAAGGTCACAAAACAGGCATTAAAACTTGAAAATTTGAAACATTTAAAGTACTAAAGATGAAAATTAGTATTTCAACCGTCAAACTGGACTCTTGCATGGAAATTAGAATTTTTGTCGGAAATAAGAAAGGGAAAAGTCTATATTCTTGAAAATCTGAAGGTTGGTTGGATCAAAATGATGCAAGTTTGAATCTGAAGGAAACGAAACTTCCAAAATATAAATGCAATTGATGCTCATAAACAAGCACCGAAAGGTAAAACAATGATGACTATAACTAGTACTGGTAATCAAAACTTGAACCTCAATTTTTGTTGGGTACCCTCAGAAAAATCACATAGGCGACGTGGAGAGATGGATATGTGATTGAGAGAGGTTAGAGTAAGTTAAAATTGTGAGCGGGTAGTTGAGGGGCAAAACCACGTGGGATTTTGTAATTAGACAAAAAACATATTTTCAGACAAGACATGTTTCCGCTTGGTACTGCCAAGGACGTTGTGCGGACAAGTCATTTGACAGAAACAGCGTTCACCATTAATCAATTTAATCTACTTAAAAAAAGGTGTAATGTTGAGAAGGGCTAAACAAAACTCCTAAATTGAGATTCTTCTTAAATTAAATATTTAAATGAGTATTAAAATCGAGAATCGGCGAATTTGGTTCGATTCTCGATTATAGACAAAGAACAAAATAAAAATCGAATCTCCTTAATTTTTAAAATTTTTTTAATAAAATAAGCAAAATTATTTTAAAATTTTTCTAAATAAATTTGTCAACTAATTAATTAAGTCCAAAAGTATCATTTTACCGTTACATTTGCCAACTAATTAATGAAGTCCAAAATATCATTTTTTTTTTCTATTTTCAGTCCAACTTTGTAATTCAAATTTTAAATAATCGAAATTGAGTGGCCTAAGTTTTCTTTAATTATTCTGGTTGAACTACATTATTTTGTAAGAGTTAAAATTGAACATGTCATTAGTTTGAGAAATATAGTATTGTTGTAAATATTAAAAAAAATTAATTATGGTATGGTACGAAATGGAATTGTGCCGAATGTGGACTCGACAATTTCACTTATTAAATACCTGAAAATTCTGGTCGAAAATCGAATCGAAATGGACCAATCCACCCTAATATTGAGCCTATTTTTACATTGACTATGAGTCACATTGTCCAATGACAAGTATTATAAAATAATTAATGTTATTTAGCACCATAGTGTTAAAATATCAATCTAAGTGACAATAATGTGAACTAAACAAGAGGTATTATTAAATGAATAATTTAATTCTACCTTTTATTGATCATATCATTTAGCGTTACTTAGACTATTGTTGTAGCACAGTGATGTTATAGAGCATTATTCTTATGAAATTCATGTACTGGGGATAATCTAACGAAAAGCGGTGCATATACCTCCAACAAAAAAATGAAATGTTGAAAATGCCATTGAACATATTCTATGGGCAACCACATGGCAAGTAATGATAGGGGCAATTTCGTCTTTAAGAGTCTATTTGAGCCCCATTTTATTGCAAGAATGAATTTTGGAATAGTAGATTAATAGAGAATGTGTAGTTAAAAAATAAAGAAAAATTTGGGTTTGTGTGTAATATTATTTTATTGAATAATGTGTGGTTGAAAATAAGAAAGAGAAAAATGTATTTTGAAAATAAGGAGGATCAAAAATGGCTAAGTGTAGTAAGGAAGAGTAATGTTATTCATAGTGAAAACTACTGGTAGCCGCCTTACGTAGTATACATATGACAATTTGTTATTTGATACATTAAGGTGATAGGTTTTTATTACATCATGCATCAAATAATAAACTTACATGTGTGTAGGGCAATTATCAATAGTTTTAACATTATTCATTAAGGAAAAATAAAGTTATCTTAGCATGATAGCGTTGGTGATATTAGAGAACCAGTTTAGGTGGTCACACTTGACGGTCCAATTAAATGGATCATTTGATTTTTCATTTAAATGAATATATCATTTAATGTCATCTAATTATCACTTAGATTAGTGTTAAATATCAATAAAGTTGAATAGCATTACTCATAAAGGAAGGGTCAAAATGTAATTAAAATTTGTAAGGAATATAAACGTTACATTATGTCACACATGGTTACAGTTAGGATTGTCAATGAATTTGATTTTAATCCAAATTCGATTCAAGTTCGATGAAATTAATGAGAGATTGATTTATGGTCTCAATCCGATAATTTAATAAAGATCCAAATCTGATAATCCGTTAACTAAATGAAGCAAATATGGATATATGTCAATCAAATTCGATAACAATACAATCTGATTTGTTATAATAATATAATATATTTTATATATTATCACAAAAAAAATCATTTTGAAATTTGTATTATACTTTACACATAATTTTCAAATAATAAATAATATTAGATA